GAGCGGATGCAGGGTTGCTTCCCTAGATAAGGGCATTAGTGGTTGAATCTCGGTGTATGACGCGACCCGGCTCAGTTGCCTGTGAGCCTTTGCAGAGCCTGGATCTTTCCCGGAGTGAACAGCTATTTTGTCGTGTCGTCAGAGTCACGATGCAGCGCGCGAGTGAACATAGGCACGCGATCATGATTTGCATGAAACTCAGTCAATCCGGTGCTGAATCTCAACATGATTCGTGAAGCCTGCGGTGAGGATGCCATGTCATAAACTCAAGTTTTCGAGTGGCGTATGAAGTTTAAAGGTGGACGGTACGTTGTCCAGGACGAACAACGCGCACGACGTCCGTCACCATGCCGAAATAATGAAGATGTTGCAAAAGCGAAACACCTTTTGAACTTTGATCGGCGTGAAAATTTGGGGATGATTGCGCAAAATGTGAATATACAAAAATCCAGTGAGCATTTCATTGTGTTGGATGATTTACAATAGAGAAAAGCGTGGGCTAAATTGTTTTCCCAATGGTTTTGTCCGAACAGCTGAAGGAAACCCTTGTATCGAGTTTTCAAGAACTGTTTTGCATGATAACCGGTGATGAAACAATCGAACTCCAGCACGATCTTGAGACGAAAAGACAAAGCGTGGAGTAAAAAGGCCCGCATGAGCAAAACAAAAGTGAAACCAATGCTCATCTACTTCTTTGACTAAAAGAGTGTTTCACAGCGAGTTCTTACTAGCAGGTTCAAACAGTGACCGGTCAATTCTATTTGAAAGTGCTCGACCGGTTGAGGTTAAGGGACCGTCGCGTACAAGGGGGAGCTCATCGATACCTGGATTCTCCATCATAACAAGGCGCCGAGTCACACGTCACAATGGATAAGGACGTTTCTGGCGAATCACAACGTGGCAGCGCCTCTCCTCCTTACAGTTTGTACCTGGCCCCGCCCGACTTCTTCCTTTTCCCGCTGATTAAACAAGGTCTGGAATGATATTTTATGGGACGGGTGGAAAGAGTGCAAGCGGCTTCGGCTCGGTGACTCAAGGAGGTTCTGATTGCAGACCTCCAGGAGGGATACCATGCATACAGAAGTGCTGACCAGGCTGTTTTAATGCAGAATTTAATTTCGAAAACGTTGAACGGCTCTTACGTGTATCTGCAATATATATATATATATATATATATATTTTTTTTTTTGTGAATGTAGTTTCGATGCTTTTTGGACAGACCCTGTTATGCACGTCGTCATAGAGTTCTGGCTTTCTTCCACATAATGCAGGTCTGGGCAGCACTTCTGGTGTCCCTGATTGTCCTGACATTCCTGAATACCCTGAAAGCGACATCTATCAAGAATTTTCTATGGGCGTATTACGAAAACGTCTTCGACTACATTCAGGCAACGTTTCTCGAAGGTACGCAAAACTACGTTTGCTGGGTCACTTTTTTGTCTCTTACCGGAGCAGTGAAAATTTCGTCTTTCTTTGTTGATTGTTGGTGTGCGCACGTCTCTTCCGGGTATCGAGAGATTCACAAAACGCCTTTTAACTTCCGGTGAGTGGCGTGCGACCATGCTGCTAAACGTCTTGAAACATTTTCCTTGGTTGTTCGCGGGTAATCGATTATTTATTACTGTCGATCTATCGGCAACTGAGCGTGTTAATCTATCGCAGCTCATAGCAAGCACAAAGCGAAAGCTGGCGCTGTTTAATTAAGGTACATATTCCGGATTTAACGAACACCCCTGACCGTTTCAGTATAGATGAGCGTTGTACCGGCATGCGGCCGTGTATTGATACTATGTGACGCAAGTGTAAGATCCCAGGCTGGCAGTCGCAGGGCGCTTGTTCTCACACGGAGACACCAGACGCCTATTGGGACTGACTGAATGCCCGCTGCATAAACACATACAGGCGACAAAATTTGTTGGTAAACTTTACAAGCACCGGCCCGTGGCTGCGCTGACAACACAACTCAAAATGCTTCATCAGGGAAGTATTTGTGTCGCATACGCCTTCGCTTATTCCGTTTTTCCCCCTCAATAGCCTCGGCGGGCTTTCTTGCGACAATGTCAGCATACTGTTACAGGATATCCTGAGCGCCAGCTCCTCTTAACTTAGAGTAAAGACTCCTAGATATAGGCGCTTTAAACCCTCGCCAGATTACAGCCGCCATGGCCGACCTTCTCTTGTGTTACAAAGACGCCAAGCCACTGAAAAGGACGTTGAAGAGCCTACACAAAGGCCGATGCTGGGGAGACTACGGTAGTATCTAAAATTACAATGACCTGGTATGATGAAGTGAAGTAAAGTAAATAAGTGGAAACAAAAACTGAAGGTAGGTAATGGCGACTCCAATGGACAGCTGCTGCAAAGCGTATATAGCGCGTGTAAGTTCGTCTGCTTCTTGCACACCACGTGAGTTTGTTGGCCTCCAAACGCGTCCAAGTGCTTTTGTTAAATCCCGACCTGAGCCAACGACGACGCGCGGTTGTCCGCCTCGTCACTGCACGCGTTCCCTGCAGTGCTCCGCCTTGCGTGCTCCGCCTTGCGTTCTCAGCCTTGCGTTCCGAGAAAACGAAGGCAGTTCTTGAAACACTTCCTTGGCGTATTGAAATGCTCTACCAGCTATAATTTTTTATGTCGCCTATTGCTCTGGCAGACACATTCAATTATAACGTAAGAGAAGTTGAGCGAGCTTGAGGGCAGTGCCTTTTTGCATTAAAACACATCAAGCTATGCGTTGCTGAGTGGAGTCCGGCCTAAGATTGACTCACAAGTACATCACGTAAAACCCCGCTACGCCCCATGTAAGGAGAGTAGCAAATTTAAAATAGGGGGCCCGAGAGCTTTGGTTGCCCTAAACAGCTCGGGACATCGCAGTGGGCATGCGCAGAAGTTCTGCGCAGCGCAGTGGGACGCCCCAAGCTGTGTGGGGCACCCAAAGCTTTGGGGCCCCCTATTGTAGACCTCGCTAGTATTTTGAAATTGAACAAGTACCTATGCGCATATGCTGTGAGTGAACGTTTTTATTTTGATCGGTTTGGTGGTAAGCTAACACACCAGACGAGACAACGTGAAAATAAAATTTCAGTCGCTCATTTTTGCTCAACAAGTTTTTTTTTTTTTACCTTTTCAGCAATTGACTCCCCACCGAGGGATTCCTACGCAAGAACCCTGATGGCCGCCTGGTGGTTGGCGCTCATCATCCTGACTAACTTATTCACGGGCAACATGAAAGCCGGCCTCACAGTGCGCCAGCCGCATCCTCGCATCGATTCAGTGGCGCAGCTGGTCCGTACCGAGGGCATTAAGGTCTACCTGGTCAAGGGACCACCCTTGCCTCTCCTGCTGGCGGTAAGGAGCGTCCACAGCCTGGGGAAGGCCCTTTCCAGATTTACCCCAGTCAAGTCAAAAGCTGCACCTAAATTATCCCAACTCCACGTGCACTCTGTGATTGTCCTGGGGGTGCCGCCATTTTGTTTCCCGGAGCAGTGCGGGCACAATGGGCGAAAGTTAATGTTAAGTCGTATGTAATCAGGAGCTGATTACCTAACAATGACACTGGGCGTTCATTGTGGCGGGGCCATGGCGGCCGATCTGTATCGGAGCATGCCGAATCAGCGTGTTCTCGCGCTGGCACGACAGAATCCAGTCTCGAAGCGAAGAGGACGAAGCCCGCAGTCATCCGAGTGTCATGCGAAACATAAAACTTCCCCCACTAGATGATGTGTCCCTATCTTTGAGGTGAGTTTCGTTTTAGAATGCTGCGCAGAATACCAAGGTGCCGGTACTTGTAGGCGGTGGAGCAGGAAATAATTATGATCCGGGGGTAGAGCGAGGTCATAATCAAAATTGATATCCCATAATGAAGTTGAATCAGACTGTTGCTTCGGCTGGCGTAAATGGTTCGTATGTCGACGCACAGAGCCTTTATCTAGTCGAACTAACTAAAAATGATGTCCCAGTTGGCGTTCAATTACTCACGAAATCCAACCTTGACCATCCAAGAACGTCTTGGCAACACGCTGTGCGTTCCACACCCAGCTTACCCGGATTCCTAAAAGTAACCCTATTGAAAAATACTTTTTACCGGAATGTCATTTCCAGTAAAAGTCTATTTTACTGGATTATGGGACTGTTTTCACCTTCAGTAAAGCCAGAGTTCACCAGAAGATCACCAGATTGACCGAAATTTACCGTGTTTTTTCTTTCTTTTTTTGGACGTCAACGGATTCGGTAGCAATTAAAGTGGTTAGTTCATATAGACCTGGAGGTTCTATGTATTTATTTAACAGGGTCTATACCAGTGAAACAGTTTGCACAGCTGTAGACAAAAGCAATTAGACCAAATAAGAACAACCAATTTCTTTGCCGCAAAAGATATCTTTCAAGGTACTCACAATGCGGCTGGGTAAATTCCTAGACGTACGGTAGTTCAAATAATAAAACCGCGCCGGTGCACCACACGGACACACACACGCATACTGTAAGTAGCACGGTTAGCGAAAACCACGACCGCGCGGAGCGAACATCCGCCGCCGTTGAGAAATCCCGGGCACACACACGATGTCGTTCCTGATGCCGTCGCCGCGGGTGCACCAGGCGTCAGTAGCACGCTTAGCGAAAACCACGACCGCGCGGAGCGAACATCCGCCGCCGTTTAGAAATCCCGGGCACACTCACGATGTCGTCCCTGATGCCGTCGCCGCGGGTGCACCAGACGTCAGTAGCACTCCTAGCGAAAAACACGACCTAGGGTGCCTTCATGTCCCGCTTCGCTAAGGGTTGTGCCAACTGCCTGTTCCCCTCTCCCATATCCTCTCCGACGCAATTTTGTAACCGCTACATTCCACTAAAACGTCCGAGCAGCATTGATATTGTACGACTTGAGGCAGACAACACTGGGTAGCCTCTTTCGCGAACGGGCTGTAAACTTGGCTCGCTAGATGGTGCGGGTGTGAAAATAGATGTCGTGGCTGTAGCTACCGTGGCTGATGTGCGTCGCGTTGTTTACATCGTTTAATCGATCGCTTCGCGCTTCAATGCGGCAAGGCTGGCAAGGCAAGGATGCGTTGCTTCCAACGAAACATAAGCACGTATTGGTGACTGGTCTGAAGTTCTGCCTTTTGCACAGTAGTCAGCTACGAGCTCCCTTCGCTAACGCCTTTGGCTTAGCTCGCCCGGTGTCGTTCGACGTGCGTTCTCAGTGTCGGCGCTTCGTCTTTCCTCGTGCGTGCCACAACGTGTGCCTCCGCGTGTATCAATTACGTGCACAGCTAGCGACCAGCAACGTTCGTCGGCTTTAGACTCATCTGATCGGCGACTCGTAATAGTTCGACGGAAATCGGCTCGTCCGATGTCGTTCGATGTGTGTTTCTCAATGTGGGTGCTTCTTCTCGTGCATGCCGCAACGTGTGCTTCAGCGTGCGTCAATAGACGTCTCACAAAACTACCCGAGCATCAAAGAGCATACAGGAACGTAGTTACACGCGCTGCGCGTTCCGGAGTTGGCAGCAGCAGCTTTTTAACGCAAAAATCTAAAGTGGCACCTCGCATCTGCGTCTGAGAATGTCTTTTTATTGTGATGTATTTCGAATCATTAATACATGTAACTCGAGCATGCGCAGTGCGTGTAACTACGTTCCCTGCATGGCTCTTTGAGCGCGAGTTCTTCGTGTAGTTACGTTCGTGCACAGACGTGCGTGTCAGTGTTTATCTGTTATCTGTGCCACTGTGTCGCCTTTTTTCTTGCTTGTTTCTAACTGTGCTTGGTGTTTGGGCTAATCGTTTCAATGTCGTTTATATAAATGTTAAACAGAAGTGGGCGTAATATACTTCCTTGAGGGACACCTGTTTTTAACGCTTGAAAGTCTGAAGAATAGTTGTTTATAAAAACAGATTGTTTACAAAATTCTAAATACGATGTTAACAGGTTTAGGGTTAGTCCACGCAAACCATAAAACTGAACTTTATCAATTAAGGTGGTATGATTTATGCCATCAAACACTTTAGAGAAATCAACAAAGACACCAAGAGTTCAAAGTTTTTGTTCGAATGATTTTAAGATTAATTCTTTTTGATTCAGTAGTGCAAGTTCAGTTGATCTACCCTTCCTGAAACCATATTGTGATGAGGTTATGAGCTAGAAACGGTCGCAAAAAGAAGTCATACGACGATGAATAATTTTCTCTAGGCACTTCGAAGACACAGGAACAATGGAAATTGGTCTGTAGTTTGAATGATCGTTTTTGTCTCCTCCTTTGGAAATAACTATAACTTTCGCAATTCGCATTTTTTTTAGGAAAGATTCCGGATGAAATTGAAATGTTGAAAATATGGGTAATCATGGGTGTTAGTATGTCCAGTACATATTTAACAGGCTTGATTTGAATGTTGTCAATATCAGTACATTTGCTATTTTCAATTGTGTTAAACATATGATAAACCTTATGTTCATCAGTGGGGGTGAGGAAAGCGCTGCTTTCATTCGGCGTTCCTAAGTAAATTGGTGCATCGCAGTTTTGTGTGCCCTGTACTAGGTTTGCAAAATAATTGTTAAATGAATCGGCTAGGGCCTTTTCTCGTAAGGTTGATTCTCCGACCTTTATCTCGGTTACATTGCTTAGCTGTGCTGACTGGTTCAATAATTTATTGATTGTTTTCCATGTCTGGTCTGGCCTGGAGATTGAGTGGCCATTAAATAAGCATAGAAGATAGTAATCTTTCACCTTCCCAGAAGCTTTGCCAGCCGATTTCTATAGGCTTTAAAACAGCATAAATCATCAGAATTTCTCGTCTTTAAAAATTTTCCGTATAGCCTGTTCTTTTTCCTTATTATTTTTACGCATTCTCTGGTTATCCAAGGTTTTTGTCGCGAACTTTTTGGGCGAATAGGCTGGTATTTAAATGTTATGTTGTATATACGCGTAAATTCTGTTAAGAAGGTATCGTATGCGTCATCAGGATTGCCCAAGTTATAAATTTCATTCCAGTCTGTGGTGTTTACTAAGCACCTAAATTTTTCGAGGGTGGTTGCGTTTACATTTAGGAACGTTGGTAGATCTTCAGTCTTACTTTCTTTGTTCGGAGTGGCGTGGATTGTAAACATGTACAGTGGCAGATGGTCGCTTAGCTGTGCGTTGATAACTCCGCCAAGCGTGTTGCGTGTATCATTGTTAGTAACGAACAACTTTATCAGTGTTGATGAGGAGCTTGTTATGCGAGTAGGTGAGGTAATAACATTCACACAACCACTAGATTCAAGTATAGATGAAAATGAGCACTGCGCACTTGAGGGACGTAGCATATCTATATTAAAGTCGCCGCCAAGAAAAAGAGCATATTGACCGACATTTACGAAATCGAGAAACCTCTCTAGGTGTGAAAAGAAACCTTCGATATTACCATTTGGGGGTCTATACATAACACTAAACACTTGTTGTTCACATTTCAACGATAATACTTCTAGGTCATCGGAAAGAAATGAAAAACATGGTAAAATCTCACAGCAAAGGGTATTCTTAACATATATCAACACTCCCCCATCACGTTTGCTTTCACGGTTTAAAAAATATGCCTTGTAGTGATTCATTTGAAGTACCTCTAGCTCATTTTGGTACCAAGTTCTAGTTAGCATGATGATGTCAAACTGAAAACTGAACTCCTGTAAAAGTATACAAAGTTCATCTTCCTTGTTCCGCGCGGAACATAAATTCGAATGAAGAAAAGATAGCTTACTACCTTTACAAGATATAAAGTTTGTGGTTATCTGATTTGGTGTTAGTTCGGCTGAGAAAGCTATCATTAAGACAAAACAAAAAGAAAACAGCTTTGTAAACCGGGCAGAATAAAATCAAACATGTCCTACTAATTTACCAAGGTCATCGGTGCTAGTGATAGAAACAATCCTGGAGTTTTCCGTTTTGCGCATATATATTTTGCCTCCCCTCGCCCAAGCAAATTTCCCTTTCAGCTCGTGTTTTTTCGCAAATGTCATTCCCAGAAGCTTTTTTTAATTCGGGGCACAAATGCTCATTAACGTAGATAGCGGTACGTGACGCATGACCGAGGTCAGTAGTTGTCATTCGTTTCTTCCGTGCTTTTTCGATGACCGCGTCTCTTTTTGAGCGAACAACGAACTGAGCAATGACGTTGGGACATGCTGATTGCTTGCCTGCTGGCACGTGGTGGTAAATGTCAACGACACTTTCCGCAATCGGTTTCTCGATCAGCTTGCTGATCCTCTGCAAAACAGCGGCCAAGTTTTCGCCTCGAACCTCGGGAACGTTTTTATCTCAATATTTAGATTTCTGGAATATTGTTCCCAGAGTGTGAGCCTCTGGACGTTTTGCTCAGCGTGTTTTTTTATGTTCTCGCATTCCCGTCGCAGCGCAGTGTTCTCAGTCTTCAAGCCAGTGTTTTCTTCTTTAACGGTGGTTACCTCTTTTCTCAGATCTTCAAAATCTTTGTTGAAGTTTTCAAGACTAGCCTTGATTTCTTTAATTCCTTCCGTAGGTCCCTTTCAAAGGAGCTACGAAATTCGCGTAGATCTTGTTTAATTTCTTTTTTCAGATCGTCGCAGAGTTTTGCAAGGTCAGCACTCATTTCAATGCTTCAAGCACAGAGACAAAAACACGCTAAAGACGCTAAAGGCAGCGGCCTCAGCGGATTGCTCAACGGTAAAACGTGTTAAAAAAGATATTGATTCCAACCTGTTGATGTTTGATGGGTCTAAATTATGATGTGGACGATTTGCTGCCGCCGCTGCCAAAGTGGTGGTCACAGCCCGCAGCCTGCTTTATCAGGGATCTCAGTCGGAATGTCAAGGACTTCGGTGCGGGTCCTTTCCAGGGCCCGATCAGTTGGTTCAGTTTGAGAACCCATAAAGATGGGAAAAAATTTCAGTGCCCGGGTGCACCGCCCACCATGGAGCCCAACGAGGGGTTTGGTAATGTGCCATAGCAAGAAAGGCTTGGCTGACACAATTACTCTACCAGTGCCGCCCGGGCACTATAACCGAGTGTGGATGCAGGGACAGGACCTGTTTCCACGCAAGGTTAGCCCTTGCCGCCTAAGAAGGAAAAAAGGAAGGGAGTGTAGAAGAAAAGAGAAAGAGGTGGGAGGAAAAGTGAAAGAAGGAAGAAGAGGGTAGAAGAGGCGACTGACTGAATCATCCTGGTCGGGACAAGTCTACGAGAAGCAGGGGTCGAAGCGGTGTATTGCTTTGCCCGCGGGGCCCCGAAGGGTCCAAACATACCCCGGGCTTAGCTCAACCACCAGGGTCCCCTTTTCCCCGGACACGGGTTGAGCCACAAGCAGCCAGACGTGGGTGGGCGAACCCACATGGCTCGGGGCTCGTAGTGACGCCACTCACCAAGCACCTACTAAAGTAGGTGCCCCCTGCGTGCGGGTATGGTCGCCCACGTGACTGGGGTCCGTGGTTACGCTATTCACCAAGCACCTAGCGCACAAGGTGCAGGCGCCCCCTACGGGGCTCGGGGTCCATGGAGACGCCACTCTCCAGACACCTGCTTTCACAGGTGCCCCTGCGGGGCTCGCCATATGTACTGAAATTAGTAAATTTATTGCATTCTAATTACCACATGAACGTGATTCATTCTTAGTAATTCTAGGACTACATTAACTAAAATAAAATAAAATCTTCTATATTATTGTAGACCAGGTAAAACAAAATCAACTGTCTACCAAACGGTTTATTCGTATTCAAAAATCAGGACAACACGATACCGGGTTTCGAAGCGGGATTTTCTTTCATCCGGTATGACCGAATTACGGGTTTGACAGATATTTCCATCCACCAGCGGGCAGCAGTTTCAGATGTCCGAGACTGCACTTGACTCTTTACAGATTTCCCAAAACGAGGATTATCGTCGTCTTTACCGGATGCTGAAGGGCTACTCAGTCGTCAGCAACGACCGCCTGTGGTCCGAAGAGATCTTACGCGAGGTGGCTCACGGGCAAGCAGTCATCATAGCGACCCGCACTTCGGCGCTCTACCAGATGTCCATGCGTTGCAGAGATATCCCGAACACCGAGATCTACGTCATGAAAGAGAGGCTTATGTGGTTTCCTCTGGTGGTCTACTACAACCGTGCTAGAGCAAGCTCTGTTGGCCTGGCTTTTGATAAGAGGTGAGTCACACATTCCACCCTAATATCGCTGTGGGAACACGCCTTCCACTGATGAGTTTTCCGCGCCCTCATTGGTGGTGCATCTACTTCCGCGTAATGACGCCATGAAAGCGTCCTGCTGTTGCCTTCCGGTAACACAGCAACGGAGGCGGATGCCGTAGACAGCTGTTCTGACGCTGGTCGTTCTCCAGCTTGACATTCCGCCAAAGCTTCAGTAGCCATGACCCCGGCCGGACTGGAAGCGCGCGCTCTCTTTCTCTTCTTACGGCCTTTGCAATTGGGGCAATCGCCACCTCCCGCCGCATTCGCGGGGGGCGCTGCCACCTCACCCCTGGGCCACCCTTTGCCGTTTGCACAGAGCGCCTCTGACAGTGTATCTCAGCGCTGTCGCAACTTGCGGCCGAAATTTTTGTAGCCTTTGACACCTGATCCTTACGCTTAGACCCTCAACTACTATCTAATGCGCTTCTGATGAGCCCAAAACGGTGAATATTTGACGCACATCTCCGAGAGATTCGGGAGTAAAAAGTAGTAAGAAGGTTCAGCAAATGCAATTGCGGAAAAACTATACTCCTCTTTACCTCCAGGACTTCTGTTGCAGCTCAAGAACAGGAGGACCCCTTCTACATGGAGGAACTTTAAATATTAAATAATTCATACATTCGCGTGAAATGTAAGCAGGCCCAATCTATCTATTGCCGTGGTCTGCATCATCAGTTAATAGGCTGCACATGAAGTCGGTCAGCTGCTCCAGAGGACGGTGTAGAAGTCTGCATAAGTTTCGCTCAGTGCATATTATACTCTAAAGTGCTTCCTCGAGTGCTTGTACACATATCCAGCTGATTTTTCGTTTCTGCCCGTGACCGTCTTTGCTTGGTTAGTCAGAAGTATTCTGAGGAGTTTGTTGCAAATAAAACCAGCCAAGCGCTTTCAGTGACTGTAGTCAATGCTCTCTGGGCAACTTAGGATTGGCGCGTCTTCAAGATAGGGTGCAATAAGGTGCACCCTTTTTAGTCGTAGAACTTTGTGCAGATTTGTACGCGGAAGGTGCTTAACCGCCTTTAAAAAAAAGGCAACAATGTTGTCCAGAAGTGCGAGGAACCTAGGATTTGTTTAATGAAGTCCGCTTTTATCCTGGCCTTGCAATAAGACGAACAGAGGATCACCTCTGTTACTTGTAGTCAACAGCATAACACAGGCGTCGCACCCAAACCAGATAGCCACCGACGTACACCAGACCAAAGTTGCCAAAACAACAACCTACGAAGTTCGAACACCAGCGCAGAGCAGCTGGTGTTCGAACTTCGACGTACACCAGACCAAAGTTGCCAAAAAAACAACCTACGAAGTTCGAACATCAGCGCAGAGCAGCTGGCGGCAAGAAAGTGAACTATACATACGGGGAAAAAATGCCATTGACTCCCGGGAGATTGCAAAGGCCGTAAGAAGAGAAAGAGAACGCACGCTTCCAGTCCGGCCGTGCCATGACTTGGGACGCGACGATGACAGTGGCACCCGTGTTCGCTCAAACTTTTTGGCATCCAGGCGGCTGGTCGCAGAGGTTCTCTACGACCACCCCCCGGATGCATGCGTGGAATAGAATGCTAAACATAACAGTAGGAGATGCGCTCCAGCTCTCATAGTTGCAGCCCAATACTCAAAGTGCCACGAGGTAAGCCGGGGTCAAATATATAATTAACTTTAAAGGACCATAAAATAATAAGGAGTTTGAAAGTGACGCACTTCACACGAGCCAAGTACAAACGCAGACAGCGTCACTCTGCCAGAAACCTTTTTATTTCGCGATGAAATTTCAAGAAATGAAGCGGAATCTCTATTTCGTTTTGTGTCACCTTTGAGAAACTTGCCAAAGTAACATTAAGGATCACAACGTTGACGAAGTGTCGATTTTGTTTTTCTAGTTTGTTGAGGTGGCGGGATGTTTACTCACATCAAGGGACGTTTAATGTCCCTTCTGCGGGTGAAATATTTAACGAGCTCAGTACGACTGCTAACCTGCGGTCGCTAACCCGCATCACGCAGTAATGATTAGACGAACACACGCCGGTACTATGCTCATCTCAATCGAAACCGGCAGGATTGGTACCCCGAGATGTCCCCAGTGTCACCCGCGCGTTTTGTGCCCGTTGTACGAGTGGTAATTTTAGCGCACTCTTGCGCTTCCCAGTTGCTCAGAATTCTCAAAATATTGATTTATCGTTGTTCAGTGATACCCAGCAAGGTTTTAATTGGAACCACATGTATATTTTTAGTAATTAAAAGGTAATTATCATATTATAAGTAATCATTTCATACATCTTTATAATTAGCCCTCTCTTTTGTGTCCCCCTGACCGTATAACGCACTTCTACAAACCACATTAGTGTAGATTTCACGGCTATTTATAAACAACTGTTCTGAAAAACCCATTTTAACGTTCCGCTATTTGGACTAAGGTACTGGAATTGTATCCTGATTCCATCTGGAGTTCAGGTTTTCCGAAGTTCTTTCTTTGTCTGCAACCTGAATTTCGGGTTTCCAGAAGCAATTCCAGTTTCATTTTCCAGTTTCATAATCCAGATAGCAAAAGTTATACCGGGATTTTCGGTACAGAAATCCGCTAAACTTATGAAAGGTCCCTGTATACGCCCACTGCCGTATCCTGCAAATCAAGCGGCGAAGGCAGCCGTGCTGTTTTATTTACGTATCGTACTACCCACCGTGCAAAATGGATCTCATCCATTGAGCTTGAAACTGCAAGAAATATTTGCCGCTAAACTTAGCGCAAATTAAGTGCATAGCCTGAGGCCGTGAGGTCATTCTGTCAAGTGACCTCACGGTGTTTCTTAAAATCACAACGTCACGCGAGTACCGACCACTAAACTTAGCGGAGCCTAAGTTCGCTAAGTTGACGCCTAGGGTACTCTAATCACTTGGTCTCACAATCGTTGTTGGAAACTAAATTTCTCCGTTAAAATTGGCGTAGATATTTTCCCGTTCAAGTCAGCTATTCGGACGCGACGACCAGACGCTACCAATCGGCTGATAAGACGGCGGCTGGCATTTGAATTTCTAAGCACGCCACCTTTTGCGTTTGCCACAAACTGCACCCTCCGTATCGTCAGAGCTCGACAGAGATACCCCAAAAATGTATTCCGGGACACCACTAATAAGGTACTGCATTTTAACGCATTTTAACGCTAAATAGCTGATGCTGACATACATTTGTCTTTTATGTAACGGGAGGGATACTTCTGCAAAAACTGAGAAAAACGTATTGCTGAATACAGGAACAAAACGTAAAGGAATATATTTTTTCGCGAAAACGATTAGCTGTTGATGGTTCAGTTTGCGGTAAACGCAAGTGGTGCGGCTTGTATTTTTCTTTTTATGTGAGTTAATACACCACCCCTTCCCTCAAAATATTCTGAATATCAGAACTACCATCTCGAATGCTACTAAAATTTAAAAAAAACAAAAACTTTTGGTTTCACAAATTGTGTTCGCCCGAAATTGTTCTTGTTTTACCTTCGCGGTACGTCTCAAATTATCATTGTAAGTCCTTCTTAGTTTCCCAGGGCAAATAGAGTGCACCACGACGCACTGTCAGGCAGGCCCGCTAAAGGCGTCCAGAAGGAACTACTTCGAAAGATCAGCAAACCCGCGCAGGGCGATCGACGAGAGATCGCGAGCTGATTCGTCCATGTTTTAAATGAGTTTCTTCTGAACGGTTTTTAGGTGCTCGTGTGAGAGGGGTTTTAGTTTGCACAGGACGCGAACTGGTCCCGTGCAGAAGGATAAGCCCTTTTTAAAGTGTTTTACCGTTGAGACTGAGTATTGCCTCCTCTATACTCACCTCCTTTACAACGTTTCCTCTGCTGAAGAAGAAAAAGTAGAGAACACTCTGGGTAAACGGACTGGCATCCATGAAACACGTTATCTTAACTAACGACTAAAGTGCACGCGTTAGTTATAACAAGCTATAAAATAAGTAGCTTTTTTCACTCCCCCCTCCCCCTCCCCCCCCCCCCCCCCCCCTTTGAAAATGAAGAGTTTGTGTCACCACTACGAGAGTAGAGTTATATTTTTCCTCTCATTGCCTCACCGCGATTGGCCTATAGTCGGTTGCAAGCTAAGAAAAAACCGGAAATGCCTCTCAGAGGAAAATGTAATCCTACGCCGAGAAACGCCAGCCAATCGTTTTCATGAAGGCACGATTCCGTGGACCAATCGCGATCCTTTTGAAAAAAAAAAAAGCTCAACATGGCTGCTGGCCTTAGCAACGCGACGCTAGTTTCTCGTGACAATTATTCTGCTTTTTTGCACCGTGTTTTACGCACCCAAGGTTACGCCACGAAATCTTAATGGTGTCGGCTTGCGTTTGCAGCAGTTTTTGCGCGACAACGTGAGAATCCAGCGACGCTATCGCCAACGAAAATTTCGAAGCGGGCGCAAGGCTTAGCACTGCTGAGAGCTGGAAGACGGTATGTTAGACAGTATCTTGGACAGAAAATGAATTGGGAAGACGGTACATTGTACATGACTTTCTTTCTTTACTAAACAGCTATTTCGTTGACAAAAACGTATTCTAACTTATTTAAATGTCCTGAATGAAATAAATAAATATTGTAGTAGTTTAAGACACGTTTCCTGGAGGAAGGAAAAGCAACGTTGCTAGCGAACTACTTTCTCGACGGTGGAGGCACTTCAGATGGGCGCAATGCGCTTGTGGGTGGAGCTAAAAGATTGTTCTTAGCTTGCAACCGACTATAGCGCGGTGGCATAACAACCGGCTCAGCTGGCTCAGCAACCGAGAAAGCCGAAGAACGCCGACAAATGCCCAAGGGCGGATGATTCCTGCTGCGTCATGTGCATCGACCCGGTTTCTTTCGGAGATGTCGGCAGCGCGGGTGATTCCTGCTTTGTCAAGTGCCACCAACCAGTACCGATGACAACGTTCGACGGTGGTGACCCAGCGGTACACAACGGAAGCATCTCTC